TCTTTAGGATATTAACTTAATCATTCATCACTTTGAATCCAAAATGCCACACAATATGTTCAACCTAAATGGGATTTTCTGACTCATGTTCCTCACTCTTAATTCTAAACACTTATTTCACAATGCCACTGCTTTATTTAAAACGATGAGACCAAAAACCAGCATTAAACCTTTCACACCTTCGGAAAACACTGTGACGTATTCCTCACAGCATGACATGGACCAAATATCAAAATGAAAATCCCGAAGTGCATTGGATTCACAAAAGGATATTTAAAAGTGACCATTTTTTCAGCTAAGCCCTGTTCACGCACTGCAGGCATAGAAGAGAAACATTTACTAATGCTACATATTGAAGGAGCATCTGAATTAATGTCTACTGCCTGACAACCGCTGCCTTCCGAGGACCAGTCTGTTCTCTACAGGAGCCAAGATGGGTGGTAAAAATGCTGGTGTGCAGTTGGGCAATAGCAGCAGGTACTTTCCCCGACCTGCTGAGTTGTGAAAATGCCCTTGATCGAAACAGGTGGTTTTGTCAATTGACAGGAAGATGCGTGCAAACTTGATGCAAGTGCTAACACTACACAGAGCATGCTTTGGCTTAAAGATTCTCATGAATTCTCTCTTGAATGAACAGAAACATGATGCAACAGTTTTGCCAGTCACCTGAAAGCCATGCCAACACACTTTTTAAAATCCGTTATTGGTTAGCGATTGGAAATTCAAACACTGATTGAAATGTTGATCAATTGTGCTAGCCAACCCACCCACTGAGGTGAATTGTACCACCTTCCCTGTTTCGTTGTTGTGGTCAATCCCAATGCCAGATCATTCGCGCAAGCTCTGTGAACCCATAATCCCCATCCTCACCGAGCTCTACAACCCCCAGAACAGTTCAAAATTCTTATACTCACTTTCAACGCCTTGCTCCTCCCTATCTCTCCACTAACTCCACACTGACCTGTCTGCTTCTTCCACTCAGTGAATTCTCGCCTGCTCCATGTCCCCCACCCAGCCCACTCTACCTTCGACTGTCAGGCCTTTCAGCCCCACCTTTTGGAACTCCCACACGTCAGAATCTCAGACAAAAGACTGACCAGGCTCAGAACACTGTTATGGAGGTTGACAGGGCATTGACTGTTGCTTTTGCAAAAAAAATTTGATGAGCACCAAAAACAGATGCAAAACTAGACAGCTTTATATGAAGTGCAAGCGAAGTGCAATGTGACAATGTAACAATAGACCCCGTGAACGAAAATACAGGACAATTTTGAAAGAATGCCAGTGATCTTCAAAAGCCCATTACAGATTGTGCCAAAGGTTGATAGTTTCATGCACTGCTTTGCACAGCTGTCAGTCTAGAACCACACAACTTTTGGACATGGACAGCTTGGTGGGTCTTCCAAAGCCTATAATTATTTCAGTGTTGCATTATTCCTAAAATCAAAAGAGACTGTTTTTAATCTGAGCATGGAACGCATGTAGAAAATACAATTAGCCCTGGCCTTGATGTGTCTCCCACCAATATGTTTAAAGTTCACAGACGAGACCACCACTGGCTGCGCAAAGCAATGCACTGAATACTGGTCATACAAGAGAGAACATGAACTAAGTAAACCTGTATTTGGTTGGACATTTTGACATTCTCTTAAATGTTTTTCAGGAAGAGATTATTTGGCAAATTAGCAAAGCAGAACAAATTACTCCAGCAATCCATGAACGAGCTCCACACAACAGGATTAAATAAGGTAAACTTAGCACCTTGGTGCTGCCTTATCCCCAGATCTTTTTCAGGTGTGAGTCTGAAGTGCTCATATTTCACTAAACCAAAAATCTATATGGGTTTTCCTCGCTCCATTCATGCCATTTATTGCCGACAATTAAGCCTGACTGCATACAGAATTTTTTTAAAATTGTCTTGCAAACAAGCATGTCTATGCAGCAGTTGATCCACCTCCACCGCACCCTCCAAAAAAAAGGTTCCAATGTTGAAACAACTTCAGAGATCCTTTCATGCATTCTAACTGCAATGAACCCTGTACTTTCATAAAGTGATCTGAGTGCCTTTTCCAGTTACGATAATCCTTGCATTTGATGTAGTGCCTTATCACATTGTTGAGATGTCTCAAAGCACTTCATAGAATATACGTGGATTGACTGTATCTTGTGGGTGAAACGCGGCAGCCAATTGCGCGCAGTTGCTGCTGAGGTTGATGAAACAGTTCCCAGACTGCACTACCAGCATTCAATATTTACTTGGTTTAAAAAAATCACGTGGAGCTCAGCTGCAGTAATATCTTGTACTGACAGGTTTCACTTCTGTCAATCAAAGCTAAGTCTTGCCTTTTGGTGGGATCCACATCTCACCAGCAGCGCCCCCTTGTGGATTTGAAACCATATTCATTTCAATAACTGAAGCTGCTAAGTCTCCAAAGTGATATAGTTTGAACTGAAAGAACTCAAAGAGAATCCAGTAAATGCATTTGAAAATGGGGGGAAAAAAAGCAGATTGGAGGGTTCCATTGGATGGACAAGACCAAGATGGTGACTGGCAGAGTTTCGCTCGGATGACTTGTTGCCATTCATTGCATTTACATAACACCCTTAATGCAGAGCGCTGAACAATGGGACTGGAAACATGATCAAAGAAGCAAGTCTTCAAGTGTGATCTGAAAATGGGCAAAGGGGCAAGAGGGATTGAAGCAAGGGTTTCAGAGGTTCCAAACGCAGGTGGTACAGAAGGACTGAGGGATGCCATTTGGGCAAATCAGAATACGGCTGGCATTCAGGAACATTTAGACCGGTCAGGCAGTATCTTTTATTGGGAGTTGAATGCGAGGCAATGTATTGAGAAGCTTGTGTTCAACAATTACATATATTACTCCCTCCGCAAAAAATGTTCCAATACTGAAACATCTTCAGAGTTCCCTTGACAGGTTTAACGGGGTTGAAAATGAGGGCTTACACACTGGAATTTAAGACAGTGAAAGGATATTCTTTGGCAGAGGTGAAAGAGTTAAACGGTTTGGGCTAGTGTGTGATCAATGAAGTTCAGGGACACCTCACACAAATGAAGACAAAATTGTGCCACTAGTATATTTGATCCAAATTGAATTTGCAACCTATCAATACCATACCAACCTCCCCCCTTGGTCGGCAGTGTCCCCCCCCTTCCCCTCCTCACCATTGCCTTCAGCCTTTCTGTCCCCCATCCTGTGGAATTCCATCCCGGAATCACTCCAAATTAGCCCCTTCCTTGTCTCTTTCAAGGCTCATCTTAAGACCTTCCTCTTCGGCCACCCTCCCACTGCCACCTCCACTACCTTGGAGGGCATTGGACAACCCTCTTGATTCCAACCCCAGCTCGGGTACAAACCCTTAACTGTGCAGCGGCTTGGGATGTTTTTCCTACGAGAAAGGCACAATATATATGTGATTTGTTGTTTTCTGTTAGTAATGCAATACTGTATTTTAACAGTCCTGGCATTTGATAATGGACCTGATCACACAGTCAAGATGTTCCAAAGCACTTCACTGTGGATTTTACTGTGAGGTGTAGAGACTATTTGTGGGAAAAAGTGGCAGCCAATTTGAACACAACAATATCCGACAAACAACCACGGAGTGACTCACAAATGTTATTGTGGGGAAGGGGGCGTTGTTGGCCAGGACAAAGGGAGAAACTCCCTTGTCCTTTCAAATAGGGAAAGTTGTGAAGCCATATCATCATTTGGTGCAATTTTGGGTTCCTGGTTTTAAAAAGAACAACGGAGTTCAGGAGAATGCAGCAGAGCAGATTCCAAACATTCAATATTAAATAACAGAGGCCTGGTTTATTGACATATCATTTTTTCTGAGTTACCTTTGGGAATCAGGAGCACCAGTGGAAAACTTCCCACTGCTGTGATGTAGGCTGAAGTTTGGTAACTTGCATTTTTAAACTCCAATGATGTCTCAATGTCTCAGAATGGTTTAAAAAGTTCTCTTTTTTTATACAAAGAATGATAACATATACCCAGGTAAAAAAAACAATATTCACACTTCGTTGTGATTCACCTCTCGGGATCATGTTACAGATTCCCAAAGATATTATGGAAAAATATCAGCTGCTTTACAAATACAGCTGACATTCTGGATGTGTATCAGGTTGTTATAATAATAAAATTATAACTCTTGCATTTGACATAGCGCTTTTCACTTCTTCTAGACGTCTAAAAAAGCGCTTCACAGAATATATAAAGTATATTTGTGGGCGAAACACGGCAGCCAATTGTGCACAGTAGTGTCCCACAGTCAGAGATTGAAGTAACCAATTTTATTATTGTTTTCTTTCTTGAGGGATTATTATCTGGCATGGATGTGTGTCAGGTTATTGTTCAGAACATTGTTTAATATTGTTAACCTTTTCAAAGCACTCGTACTGATCAAAACTTCTTTTGGGTTTGAGATTTTTGGAAGACACTAAACCATCACATAAAAGGGGGAAAGTTCCACTGGAAAGTTTATGATGAGTTCCACTGCCAGGTAAAAAGTTAAGCATACGCACATTATACATCACCAGACTTTTCATACACAAAGGTGTAAATCAGTGGGTCGGAATCAAACATTCAGACAATACAGCTGATGTTACTCCTACTCGCAGTATGCAGAGGTCATGAGTAAAGCAGCTGATGAGGCTGCCTTGGGCAATTGCCTTCATCCTTAGGTCAAACACAAAAATACAGACCCTTAATCAAAAATTCCCATCAGCAGAAAATATTGTGACCGTGAAATGCAACGGCTCCAATATTTGACTGGAATTTTTTTTCCGTTGTCAAGGTGATTATGGACAAAAATTCCAATAAATTATGGCTTTTCCCAAGGCACACAGTGAAAATAACATCCTGAGGGTCCACATTACATTTGCAGACCTGCAAATCTCAGCGTTGTGGTGGAAGTGCTATTGCCAAATGCTTTAAGTGCAGATTATTTTGTCTCACTGTCTGACGGTTGTCACCTACCTGATATAGGTATGCCACCAAGTCCCGTGCTGTGCTGTGGTATATTCAAGTCCAAGAAGTTACTGTTTGAGGTGGGCGTTGCTGTGTGGTTCAAGTGCATCATGCTATTTTGAGAGTAGGCCACCCACGGGTACCGTGCCTGACCTGGGAAACTGAAGGAGTTGTAGATGGCTCTGTGTTGAAAAGCTGGAAACCTCCGGGGTAATATAGAGTTGGGGAAAGAATTGCCTATGGAGTTGGCAGTCGTGGCAGTTGGAGGAGGGGGCATGAAGCCACCGACCCCTTTGTTTGCAGTTTGAGGAGGGATCTGTAGTGACGTTGGAGATATGAGACCCGTGTTGGAAGGCTGGTCCTGGACTGAAAGTTCTTTCTCTATCAGATCTGCTAAGGCTTTCCTGGTGATGTCGAATGGGTCAAACCCCAGGTCATCCTCTTGCTGTTTGGAGGAGCCAAAGCCAAATGCCGCTTGCCAGTCTGTTGACGAGGATACTGGGATGGTTTCTGGAAATTATTAAGAATATAATTGAGCACAAAATTCTGAGTATCTTCAAACTCTATCACATCACCAACGGAGCATTTCCATCAGTCCCACAATGAGTGACCTGAGCTATTCCAAATTGGCATTAAGTTGTCTAATATGGAGCTACTCTGCTTTATTCTCCCAATGTTTCTTTATTACCTTTAATATAAAGGTGATAAAACACTTCCTGGACATTATTCCTATTTACCAAGACATTTTATTCACGCGACATCTCTGTCTGACTACAAGGAAAAATTTGTCACCAATTGAAGTTCCACGGGCTGTAAAATATGCACAACAGTTCAATTACGACTTGTGCTCTGTATTTCTCTTCACTTTCTCTTACTGAGTGAGGTGCTCTGAAGCTGGAGTTCCATGTGTGTGAGAGAGCATGCATAGACAGATACAATGTGTTATATTACACATGCAACACACAAACATGCTGTATTGCTTTGAGAAATTGAGTTTTTAAATTAGGAATCCATTCAGCCTTCTGTCTCGAGTTTGATAAGGGGCAGTTTCCAAAATTTAAATGGAAGCAGAAGCTAAGTGTACAGGTATGTGTTTTGGGGAAGTTGACTTGTACCAGTCTAACCTGGTGTAAAACAGAACAGCACAGGAGGTGGTTTTATCCCATTGGGTCAATACAAGCGCAGTCACCTCTCATCTCATTTTCCTGCTCTCTTCCTGTCTCCTTTTGTATCTCATTTCTCCCCTTTAAATGATGCCATTAACTCAGTAATGATCTGGTGTTTCTGCAGCTTCTAAGTCGAACCAAAGTTCCCAAATGCCAAATGACTCAAGCCCTTCATTATTTTCAGGAGATAATTTTAATTTTAATTTTCATCTCGTAAAATCTATTCAAATATTTCCAGCTGCTGGTCACCTGTTTAGTGTATTGGAACATGTCATTGGCCAGTGTTTAATAAGAAGTAGTTTATCAGTGAGAAAAACAGCAAAATGGTTGTGAAAATACAGCCAGGAAACTGCTAACGTTTGAACAAATGAAACTATTTGGGAACAGAACAGCTCTGCATCGCTGATAAAACTGATGGCTTTCATAACTAAATTTACTGTCTGTACAAGCAAAATACATATTCGAGATTAAACTAAAAACTTTAAGAGTTGGGACTTCATCGTGGAACCTTGCGATTTAGAATTTATGCTGCTCATATTTTAACTACCAGTGCATAATGAGGGTGTTTCTTTATTTTAAAAAAAAGGCAAGGGAAACAAAGCTACCAACTGAGAGATCATTAAATCCAAAGGATCAGGAGTCCTGTAGCTCAGTGGTTAGAGCACTCTCTTTGCAAGTGAGAGACCCGAGTTCAATTCCAGGCAGGACGAAACCTTGGGCAAGTTTCCTTACTCCACACACCTAATAATAATCCCTCCAAAAAAAAAACAATAATAAATTGGGACATTTTCAATCCACGACCGTCTGTGGGACATTGCTGTGCGCAATTGGCTGCCGCGTTCACCAAAAATATACAGTCAATTCACTTTACAGTATAATCTGTGAAGCGCTTTGGGACGTCTAGAAGACGTGAAAAGCACTATATCAAATGCAAGGATTATTATTATTAAATTCACGGCATAGCACTGGTTGCAGCTGTCAATTTAACTTGTGACAATAAATTAAGAGAATTTTTGAATAGTTTTCCACAAACAACAGACAGAGTTAAATGGTAAAAGATTATGTCCAACAGTCAATGGGTTGCTACAAGGTTACAATTAAAACAACCTAATCACATCAAATGGTTTCAGTGTTAAGAGTTCTCTGTAAAGTGCAGTGGATGGACTTGCAGATTATCTCAGCAGCCAATTTGTGCACAGCAATAACCTGCAAACAGCCCGTGCAGCAAATGACCAATTTTAAGTGGGAAATTGTTGTTGGCTGGAAACGGGCAAAACTCGGCTTATCTTTTCAAATTAAGCAAGGTTTTGAACAGGCAAACAGGATCTCAGTTTAACATCTTATTACATTTGTATAGTGCGTTTCACGTCAGGAGAACGTCCCAAGGAGCTGGACAACTGGTGTTTTGGGACCGGGTCAGGATTAGGGAGGGTGAGGCCGGGGGTGGGAGAGAGAAGGAAGGTGATCGAAAGCATGGTCGAAGAGAAAGCTCTTGAAGGGGGCAAGGAAGGAGCAAGGACGAGTGACTGCAGGATGGAGTTCCAGAGAGTGGGGCTGAAGTGGCTGAAGGCTTGCCTTCCAGTGGGGCAGGCAAGGCGGGGGGGACGTGAAGCAGGACGGAGGCCGCTGAGCGGGCAGGAGATCGCAGATGTAGAGGGGACGTGAGGCCATGGAGGGCTTTGAAGGTGAGGACCAGGATCTTGAACTGTGTGATGGGAAGTCAGGAGTCGAGCGAGGATAGGAGTAATAGGGTCACGGAGGCTGGTGTGAGAGAGGACACAGCCTGCAGAGTTCTGGATAATCTGCAGCCTATGGAGGGAGGAGTTGGGGAGGCCAACAAGCAGGAGTTTGCATAGTCAAGCCTGGATGTTATGAAAGAATGTATGAGGGTTTCAGCGGCCTGTGGTGTGAGACAGTGGCGGAGGTGGGGGAAGGCAGAGCGGGTCATGGCACAGATGTGGGGTAGAAAGGATAGTTGAGGGTCAAACAAGACACCAAGGTTCCGGACTGGCTTAGCGAGGTGGAGTGTGCATCCTTAGATGGCAACGCTGTGATGTAGATGCGCTGACAGGAGCCAATCAGGAGAGCCTCGGTCTTGTTGACATTCAACTGAAGAAACTTAGCTCTCATCCAGGACTTAATGTCTGACAGACATTTGTCATGACAGCAGTGGTTCTGGAGTTAAAGGTGGAGACAGAGAGGTACAGTTGGATGTCATCTGCATACATGTCGAACTTGACCCCATGGCTGCAGATGATGTCACCAAGAGGGAGCACATAGATATTGAAGAGGAGGAGACCAAGGACAGAGATTGCTGCACTTTGAAACAAGATTGACAAAAGCATTGAAAGAATGGAGTTTCTTGTCGACAAGCACAATATTGACATTTGAAAAGTAACATTAAGTGATTAATTGTGCTGTGTATCAAGCTCGCCATTGCTAAAACTGCACTGTATACATACTTACCAACACGTGATATTTCTGTGATCAGAATGACAATGGTCACAGGAATATAAAATGCAAACTTGTTCTCTCACAAGTTATATGAATGCAGTTACCGGGGAATTTGCAGCAGAACACATTCTTAATGAGATTTGTCACAAAAGTAAAACAGCTGGTGAAATGCAAGCTGCTTTTACATAATCCTTGCATTTGATATATCCAACAAACATGAGGTGAATGACCAATTTATTCTGGAGAATAGTTTGAGGACAGCAGAAGAAGCTCCCTTCTTATTTTGAGTAGTGCCATTGGATCTTTAACATCCACCTGAATATGCAGGCAGGACCTTGGTTCAACTTCTCATTTGAGGGAACTGAGGGAACTGAGCCATACTGAGGGAACGCAGAAAGAAAATAATAGTTGAATTTGTGCAACTAGATACTCAGTGGCAGGTTCGTTATTTTGATGGGATTTTTTAAATGACATAACCCCCACTCTCCCTGGAACTGGCCAGAAAATTACTATTAAAAAAGGCAAAAGTCCCTTATTTATGAAACCAGACAAATTCAGCTCATCCACGTCATCCATGTTAGAGCAATTTCTGTTCCCTTGCTTCTCAGATTGCATCATTCACCACCCAGCAACTCGGTCACAACACAGTGGCAAAGCAACAAAAGTTAACGTCAAAAGAAGAATTGAAATTTGTGTCGTGTTTGATCTTAAGAGCAGTGAGAGATCAAGTATATTAAACTCAGTGTAATCAGATACTGGGCCTGAAACGACATATGTCGTAAAAGAAAAAACCCAACTCCTTCCTAAAAATAAAATTTGTTCAATAGATAATTCAGCACAGGTCGACAATTATTGTGCTATAAGCAGAGCTCGTTTTGAGTGGCATATAAAACAGTCTGTCTGGTGAATGAATGTGTGCTGCATTTTATTTCTGTAATGACACTCGCATAGTTACAACTCTCCATTTAAAGTCTCAGTTATTCCTCATCATCCTTCATAGACCATAAGAGTAATATTCGAATAAATCTCCATTCCTACCATCTGTAAAAAAATGCACAGATCCAATGAATCTGGGATACATTCGGTAAAATAGCAAGACTCTTATTTCCCTTGGCGCCCCATAGATTTGGCTTTGGCACTGGGGAAAGCCACAAACGTACCTGATGTGAAGAGGCTCTGTGGCTCTGGTGCTGTTGGCCAGTCATGTGTTGTCTGGGGTGATGTGGGGTAAGGCAGGCTGTTGGGAAGAGGGTTAGGATGTCGGAAGTTACTGTTGTCTGAAAACAGGGACTGGGATTCTGCTGCTGCCCCCTCAAAGGGGGACCGGGCGTTGTGGTTAGATGAACTAATGGGGATAAGGGGATTGGGTTTTGTTAAGCCTGGCGGCGGTGATGGTGTTTCACTGGTAGGTATCTGAAAAACAAGACAGTGCACATTGATTATATCACTGGGAGCTTCCCACCCGCCATACTGAGGGAACGCAGAAAGAAAACATAATCCGTAAAGTCCCGGGGCTGCATCCATTATAAGACAAAGACTCAACTTGCAAAAAAAAAAAAAAAGCACACTTGCAGCAAATAAACACAACAATGTGGGTATTAAAGGACTTCATAAGTGGGTACATGCTCAAGAGTGTATGTCTCACCTGTTGAAAATTGTCACCATTTCCTAGACTGAGGTTTTCTGGTGGTTTTTCTATAGGTCTGCTGACAAAAAGAAGACGACAGGTTTAGTCACGGTTAGGTTCATGGTGTGGTATCCAACAGCCCGTAATAGCCCCATTAATTGAATTTTCAAATGGTGAGGAGGAAAATAGCAAGAAAAAAAAAGCCTGAGAATAGCCATGCTCCACGTACATTAGCAATGTGAGATTGCTAAATTAGTATCACGTGCTTATTCTGTTCACTGAACTTGTCTGACATTACGATTGAGGATTCATCCTGCTGCTAACAGGAACACTGATTTGGTCAGACATGTTGCTCAGGCAGTGTTGGCTTGTTATCTGCCTAACCTCAGTTTGACAATAGGGTAATTTCACTCTTCAACAACAGTTTACATTTGGAAGTTTCTTTCGTGTAGAAATTCCTACAGAACGCAAAGGGAAATGCCATTTTCCTGTTGCTTAGTTAAGTAACTTCTGAAAAGAGAGTGTGGTTAAAAGCATTAACTGTGCATTTTACCTGCTCTTCACTTACACAGCAGCACAGCAGATTGTTCTATTAATTACAAGAGAAAGAGGAGTGCAAACTTCAGAGATTGGTTCAATCCATCCAGGGTGGGAGGTTCATTCCATCCAAGAAGCAAACAAACATTTTGGTCAGATTTACAAACTTATGCCAGAAAGGTTTACAATCATTATTTGCCCCCCATCCATGCAGATTTCACTGAAATATTTCATATGAAACACATTGATGTTAATTGGGACGTTAGGACAGAAAATATTCCTGACTGCTCACACTGCATTTTAGTTTTCAGTGGCTGTACACATCGTAGAAATTCTAATTATCATAATTTTTTGAGCAGAGTCTTTACAGGGAAAGAGAAGAAAACCTGGTTTAAAGTCCATAGATCCAGAGGATGAGGTAGCAACATTTGAGGGATGGGTCAAACAGCCTTCCCTGTTGTAATTGCTGCAGTTCTGTTATATTTGACACAGTTGGTCAAGCTTATTGCCCAAATTGAGCCGATGGAATATATATGTTCAGCCAGTAATGCCATCAAGTGATTGCAGATCAGAAGGCAGATTCCTGAGTGAATATCTGAAGATGGCTCATGACAAAGTGACTGTCAAACCCAAGGCCAGTGACGATTGCTTCAATGAACATGAACTAGAAGTGCTAAAACAAGCACTGAAATTTAGCTTCATGGATCAAAAATCCATCCAATATGATAAACAAGCTGCAAGGTGGATCAAAAATCCATCTAATCCGATAAACAAGTCAAAAAACATCCTTCAGAGCTCAGAAATAATGTAGAACGAAGATTGAAAATCATTTGCCAATGAATGCGTTGAATTGTGACCTTGGAATAGTTAGCTGAAAACAGGAATTTGTAAATGCAGCATTCATCAAGTTACCAGAGTCTTCAGCAACAGTAGCAGAATAAGGTTTTAAAAGCAGCTGGTTCGGACATCTCGACACTATTCAGATGTCTTAGGAAAAAGAGCAAACTGTTGCATTAAGACATTATCCAATCCCTGAGCATACAGTGAGTGCACTTGGAGGTGATCAATCAAAGATTCTTCACGAACACTCAACAACGCTAACTTCAGAATTCTGCTGCGACGAACCGTAGCACGTTGGATCAGATCTTGGAATTACACAACTATCAGAAGTCTGGATTTTTTTTTAAATCAAGGATCTGTATAAAGCATTTTCTTAAGTGTTGATATTAACACTGGAGAAACTTCCAGTGTTACATTTGTTTCCCCCTCCCCCACCTTTTGAAAAAGACTGACATTAAACTAATTTGGAGACCTAAGTAGCAGAAATCATCATGGTCGCAAGCTACCTCTTCCTCTTACCATTTCCCCAGAAGAACGCTGGAAATCACCGGAAACATTGAAATGAACTTTAAAAAAGGAAAAGAAAATCCATTAACAACAGGATCCTGGATTTATCTCCAAAAAGACGTATTTGGCCATGAGGTTCGCACAGAGTTAGATTTTGCAGATACGAGTTGTTGGAAGTTGCATTTGCTGGTTCAAGTGGAGCTCATGTGGAGAACATTTAATATGTATTTTTTTTTAACTGGACGATGTCTAAAACCAAAACAAGCACCATCAAGCTATCAAATTTGGCAAATGGCCTGACTGGATGCAAACAAAAGAATCGTCTCCCTTGCTCAGAGTGGGTTATTCTCAGTCCAAGAGACAAATGAAGCCAATCACTGACCTGAGTTCTTTGTCAGGACCATCTGTGGTCATGTTTTCGGGATCTGAACCAATATCAAGTATGGGAGGCGTTTTGCTGTCCTCGAGCAGGACCGTTAGACCGTTGGCTGCTTTAGCTGTACTCTGTAATGATGGCCAGGTATCTTTATTATTACTGTTGGGTCTGTAGGGGGAAAGAACGTCAAAAATACTAAATACTCCCAAAATCTTCAGACAACGTAAGGTTTCAGCAGCTCACAGATGCCAGTTATTAATGGACACTTTCCAAACTGATCCCATTGCAAGGGTCCTGTTGATTGAATTGCACCTCCTGACAGCCAACCCCAATGGAACTCAGAGCAGCCCCAAAAATAATCAGCTGGAGAAAAATGCAGGCAAAGACGGTGGTAAAAAGGAACGTTCCTTGCAAAATAAAATATTGTTGATGATATATCCCTCACGATCTTTCAATCATTTGTTCTGAGGCAATTTATAGCTTCCTCTTCCATCCAACACTGCATTTGTATCTGGGTTTCAATGGAAGAAATGGAACAAGTAGCAATATTCACTCGGCTGTGGCTTAGTCAGTTCCATGGATTGTGCACCAACAATACACACTGAAAACAAAACAAGTTAAGAAAAGACAATACCGATCCACAGATACTGATAACAGCGTGAACAGGCAGTGGTGGCTGAACATGGATCCTCAACCAGAAAGTCCTATTCCTATGACAATTCTGTACCAAGTGTTCTGTGTTGAAATCCAAAGGTACATCTATATATGCAAAATCTCAGCATTGATGTGGAAGCTGGTGCAAAAAATAGCCCCGTTGACATGGACCCACAGAAGCAACAGAAAACCTAGATATTATTCGAACAAAGTTCAGCACTGGATGCACCGTGGACAAATCAAAATCACAAATTTTAAGTAAGAAAAGGAGCTAAATAAAGATAAATAGAAAACGTTATGGAATGCACCCAGGACAACCACTGAACAATTTAGAATAAGTGGATTCTTGTTGGGGGTTTCGTCGTGCAAGAACGTGAGCCAGAAGAAAAGTAAGACTTCGGAACACTGAAACAATTCCAGCAAACAACCACACAATTCTGTTCAGTGAACTTTTTGTAAACATTTCCAAACAATTCTGCTTTGCTCCTTTGGTTGATACTTCAGTGAAAGACTGGTCAGGTTTATGATACTGAGCTTCATCGAGTCTTGGGATTTTAACTCTGTTTATAAACTGAATTGTGACTTCTGAACCAACGATGTTGCAGACACATTGGAAAAAATACAAAATTTGAAATGGAAGAGTATGAAGCTTCATCAGTGAGTAAAGTGAATTTTGTTTGCTTTTCTGTGGTGGATGGAATCATTTGAGAGTAAAACCTGCCCGATCCATTCTCATGCAGGAACTGCAACTCAAGACATCCTCTAGTGTTTCACTTTGACAGCTGCAGGTCAGATTTCAGGCAATTTTGCCCCAGTGTGCTGAACATGAAAGTTAACAATTTTCTGCCAGTTTTCCTACAATGAATTTCCATGAGTAGCAATTCACAATTCCTTCAGCATGAAAAAAATAATACAAGCACCTCAATGTCCTGACCAAGGTTACTCCAGATGGCCTCACCATCAAAGAAGTTTGCACATTGTAAGACTTGCACACTGTAAGACTTATTCTGTGAAGCGCTTTGAGACATCTCAAAGTAGTGATAAGGAGCTATATCAAATGCAAGATTTATTAAAACTTGGCAGAAAGCATAATCAAACAACAGGAACAACAAATTACATTTATATAAAACCTTTCATGTCGGGAGGACATCCCTAAGAACTGGACAGTTAACCCGAGCTGGGGGTTGGGACCAGGAAAGGTGGAGGGCAGGGAGGGTGATCAAAGGCGTGGTCGAAGAGGAAGGTCTTGAGACGTGGCCTTAAAGGAGGCAAGGGGCGAAGGGATGTTGATGGGAGTTCCAAAGGCTGAAAGCCCGACCACTGATGGTGACATAGAGCAGATCAGAGTATAAATTTTAAACTTTTAATTTTAAACTACTACATATTTCCACATGAAGGCAATGAGCATACACTCCTGACTGCACTGTGAGCACTGCAGGGTCAGTTTAGAGATAAGTGAAGTTTAGAAGTGACTTAATTTTAGTGACTGTGGAGTCCTGTAGCATATTGGTTAGAGCATTCAGCTCGCAAGCGAGGATTTGTGGATTCGATTACCAGGCAGGGCGAAACCTTAGGCATGTTTCCTTACTCAACACGCCTCTGTTTACATAACAGTAAGTAGGACCCCGATTGTTAGTCTATTGGCAGATCGCTTTTCTGGGGGGGGGGTAATAATTCCTTCGACAAAAAAATAGTTTGGTCACTCAATCCACGACTGTTCACAGGATATTCTGTGAAGTGCTTTGCGACGTTTCAAAGGAGTGAAAAGTGATAAGGTTTATTATTATTAAAACTTGGCAGAAGGCATAATCAAACAGGAACTTTACATCAATGAAGAAGATCCAAATACGATTTCAAAAGGGAATTAGATGGGATTGTTACAGGAGAAATTTTACTAGTGTATTGTGAGCTGAAGACTTGAGTTTGACTGTGTGAATCTAAATAATTCTTTAATGTGTATATATTGGAGACCTCACTACATTTCCCCTTTCCCTCCTGTCCCGTATAAAATACTTGTTTTGCCTGTGAAGGAAAACAGAGCCGTGAGCACTGAGAAGGCAGCAGCTGACAAAACACGCCAGAGCAAAGCAGACAGCTAAATTTCCCAAAAGCAAATGCTTCAGATCTTTTCAAAAGCACACTGAATGTTCCTTAAATGCCAAATTCATCTCAACTTCACTGAACCATTTGAAGCAGCATTGAAACATGTCAAACTGGATGAGGCTACATTTCGAAACATTTTCTCAGTTCTTTTTTGATCAGATATTCTAGGCACACACACTAGACTCAGAGAGTCTGTCATTTTTAATGGAGTTGGAGTTCCACCAAAGGTAAGTGATGGAACTCCTCTCTCTTTCTCTTTATCAGAGCTGCTGGTGCAATGTAGATCATCATAAACCCTTCAAAACAAATAATAATAATTTGGTCATTCAATCCTGTTTGTGGGATACTGCTATGTGCAATTGACTTCACGCACAAAATATACTGAATTCACTTTACAGACGTCTCGAAGACATAAGGCTCACGATCAAAGGTAAGGACTATTATTAATAATAAAAAGCCTTCCAAATGAGGAGTTCAAATGTTTTAGTCATTATAAGCCGTCCTGATGATGGCACACACTTCCCGAACAGAAAGCAGTGATGTAAACTCAACAAGCACTTCCAAGAAGGCTAGGATAAATAACCACAGCACAGCTGTTAAAACAATGGCTTACTTTAGGAGCAAAATGATAGTTCGGACGATACTGAAGTTCATCATGCATGGAGACACTACAATCTCGGTGGGTGAAAATGCGAGGGTAGAACCTACAATTCACAACTTGACATTACATGATACACAATTGCACACAAACCAAAACAATGCGACAGTTCACAGTACAGATTTCACTGTCCACTCATGAAAATGGCCAAATCTAATTCTACACAAGAAATATTTCAACAACAAGATTACATTTGAATAGCGCCTTTCACGTCGGGAGGATTTCCTGGGGTCGGGTGGGGGGAAGGGGGGGTAACCGATAACATGGTCAAAGAGGAGTCTTGAGGTGGGACTTGAAAGAGGCTAAAAGAGGGGGCGAGGCAGAATGAATGAGGGATGGAATTCCAGAGGTTGGGGGCAGAGTGGCTGAAGGCTCTCCCGCCAATGGTGGGGCGGGTGGGCAGGTTGGTAGGGTGTTAGGAGGTCGAAGAGGTGGGGGCGAGACCATGCAGGGCTTTGTACGTGAGGACCAGGATCCTGAACTGAATCCTCTGAAGGATAGGGAGCCAATGGAGTCGGGCGAGAGTGGGGGAGATAGGGTCATGGAGTTTGGTGTGTGAGAGGACACGGGCTGCAGAGTTCTGGATTATCTGCAGCCTGTGGAAGGAGGAATTGGGAAGGCCGACAAGCAGGATATTTGCATAGTCGAGCCTGGAGGGGATGAAGGCAGAACAAGAAGGGTGAGGTAGAGGCGGAGTTGGGTGATGTAGGTGAGGAAAGGCAGAGCGGGTCATGGCTTGAATGTGGAGAAGAAAAGACAGTTGAGGGTCGAACAAGACACCTAGATTCCTGACTGGCTTGGTGAGTTGTAGTGTGCAACCATGGAGGTTGATGCTGCCAGAGGCTGAGGTGCTGAGGCAATCGAGAAGGCCTTAGCCTTGTTCACATTCAACTGTAGGAAATTTGCCCTCATCCGGGATGTCTGTCAGTGGTCCTGGAGTTGAGGGTGGAGGCAGAAAGATAGGGTTGGGTGTCATCCGCATACATGTGGAAGTTAACCCCATGCCTGCCGATGATGTCACCAAGGATGTAGATATTAAAGAGGAGGGCCAAGGACAGAGCTCTTGGGGACGGCAGATGTGATAGTGCAGTGGCTGGAGGAGAAACCGTTAGAGACAACAAAGTGGAGATGGTGAGAGAGATAGGAATCGAACCAGGCAAGGGCAGATCCGTGATGGCTGAGAGGAGGTGTATGAGAATGGAGTGGTCAACAGTGTCTAAGGCGGCAGAGGTCGAGGAGGACAAGGAGGCAGAGGGAGCTCTGATCACAGATGTTCAGAATATCATTAGTGACTTCGATCAGGGCCATTTCCATGCTGTGGATAGCGCGGAAGCTGGATTGGAGGGGTTCAAAGAGGGAATAGCGAGAAAGAAAGGAGTGGAGCTGGGACTTGACAACTTGTTCCAGGACCTTGGAGAGGAATGGGAGGTTAGAGATGGGGCGGTAGCTGGAGAGGGATGGATGGATCCAGGGAAGGTTTTTTCAAGATGGGGGGGACGGCTGTTTTTAGGGGGGGGTGGGGACTGAACCGGTGGACAAGGGTTGATGACATCAGACAGGAGAGGGGCCAGAAGGTGAAGCTGGGAGACGAGAAGCGAGGGGTATGAGATTGAGAGAGCAGGTGGTGGCTTTGAGCTTGCAGACAGTCGTGGTGAGGGAGGAGGGAGAGAGGGAAAGAGGGCCAGAGGTGTAGGATTCAGATGACTCTAGGGCAGTGGAAAGGGAGGAATTTTTTTTCCAAGAATGGTATGTAATGGTGGAGGGTTGGGAAAGGGGTACTGAGATGCTGAGGAAGTTGAAGTGGTGGTCCGAGATGGCTTTATCGACAGTGGTGATGTCCGAGACGGTGAGTACCAACCTAGATTTCATATTCAAGCGTCAAACTGCTTCATCATGCTAACTGGGCAAGTTTTGTCCTTTACTTCTTCCTGAAAGCAGATGTGTGCTGATGCAGGGCTGGGTGAACAGCGACCAAAACTGTGCCTGACTGTTCAATGTCTAGCTTGCAATGAACTCACACACCAAGCCATTGGGGAAGGAGTGAATGATCGTTATGACAGGGAAGCAACCATACAAGACACTTCTTCGCACTGTTACTGTGGTGATTATACCATTGTAATCTGGCCTTGTTTTACCCATGTAATGTAAAGGGGGGGGGGAAGAGAAGGAAGAAACACAGGATTACAGTTGACACTTACTGCAAAGCGTGAACTAATCCCCTTGAAACCTATTCCAAAAGTGTTCAGGTAATGAAAAAAAGAGTTGTGGATGAAACAGAAATTAGAGCATTGATTGCGAATATCGTGTGCAGGGTGAGATGTTAATAGGTAGGTCCTTGAAGAATTTATCATTTTTACAGATGTGCAAAACACAACCACAAATAATTGTATGAAAAAAAATGAATGTGCGCCAAGTCAGTAACCAGAAGGGTAGGCAGGCCAGAGCAGTACTTACACATCATACCTCTGCTGAGCAGCTAGTTTGTTTTTATTTTTGTCGACTGTGCTGGACGACTGTTGCAAAAAATTGGGGTTCATTTTATAAAGTTCTTGAAGCAGCTTCTGTTCATATTCTTGATGTTTACCTGCCTGTGGAATAAAAGTAGAGCATTTATTTTAATGTCGAGCACGTGATGGCAATTGAGACATTCACTCTCATCAGAAATTTCCTGCATTCCTCAATATTCACTCAAATTGCCTACATCCCTTTAATACTTTTGAATACCCGATGAGGAATCTGAGATTTCCGATGATAACTGTATTACCTGGAGTCTGGGTTCGTGAAAACATGATTATGTAACTTGGGCATTGCATCTACCTTGATTGACATGTAGAGAGAGAAGCAGTTGCTGCTGAAGCTCTGTACTTGAACTTATAAAATCATAATTTTTAAAAGATTGTTGGTCAGTTGTTTCCTGAGCCAGGCAGGTATGTAGTACTGCGGGGTCCCACTGATGGCAGACCAGTCCGTCTAGCTTGTCAGCAGGACTTGTTGGGGCAGATAGTCAACAGGGCCTGCTACCTTCCCACTTGGCTCCTGTTAACACTGCAAGTCAAAGCCTGAACTGATAAAGTGGTCAGAACTGGACAGGCAGCAGTCCTGGCCCGCACAGGATATTTGAATTCAATCGCAACATTCATTTAAACGTGTATAAAAAAAAATAATGGGCCACGACATCTGTTGGATTCCTTTCTGCTGGAACAACAAGCAACGAGTCCATAATAAATCAAGAGCAAAAGATAAATGAAAAGAAACTCAAGGTGTCCACCTGAGGGCGCTCTGACATTGTGCAGCAAAACAAAACAAAGTGGTTCTGAAGTAGAACTTGAACAGGCAGCCAGCAAAACAGGGAGAAAACTATTTTACAAAGCCTTCCCACCTCCTCCCCAACTGGATTAGGTGCAACTTGAGAATCAACCTAACATGTGCTCGAGGTTAGGTCATAATTTTTTAAATTAGCAACGCTGACCAGGCTTTAAACCTCAGCCTCAAGCTACACATTTCCCAGGGAATACTTGTCCATTCATTCAAAATACATTTGTTCAGGTTAAAAATATTGTGGTGCAAATAAAGAAATGCAGTCGAGTCAAGCTGGCATCAAATGGTCAAATGCAACATTATATGAACCTAACAATACAAAACATTTTTTTTGGTAGGAGCAGAATTGAAGACATGGATGAATTGCCCATGACTTCTAGGGTTTGATGTAATAATTTATTCTCTTGGTTCCTTGAACTGGCCGACATACCTGCATCTCTTCTTTAGTGAAGCTGGCCGCTTCATCCCCTAACTCGTGCAGATACATACAGTCTGGTTTAGGACACTGCATGTTCTTCAAGAAGTAACTGCAATACTTTGTTGTACCTAAAGAAGCCTTTTTATACAAAAAAAAACAAGTGAGCAATTAGATACATGCAGAGGTTTCATACACATGCATTCTAACTTCGCTCAAAACTTACAAGAAGCAGTGAAACACTGCTATCAAAGGACTCAGTCTCTTAAATGATATAAAGCACAACGGATGCAGACTTTGACGATTTTGGTCCGGCATTCAATAACTGTAGGGCAATAAGGATACTCCTTCATTTGAAATCAGTAAGTTAATTACAGAATTAATACGATCACCCTCGATGCAATGGTTTTCCAAAGGTCCTACAATTGCACCCTATATGTCGGTCACATCCTCCCACCCCTCCACAATAATATGCTAATTTCACTCCAACAGTTACCCAATTCAACAGGAATATCCATTCTAAATTGATAAAACTCAATCCTTTTGCAGGATGATAAATGGGAGTTTGAAATAAAAACTGTGCTCAAACACACAATTGGAGAAGTGCAACATTTTGATTATCTTGCATGGTTGAGAGGTAACTGTTTGAACGACTGGCGGTCTTGTTCTATTGCTTGACGAGTGTGGCAAAGGACAAATACGCTCGTCGATCCTGGTCATCACTGGGAAGATGAGGGCTTAATAATGTGCTGGAGCACGCCTGTCAGTAGCTGATAAAACATAGAATGGGAGAGGCTGCTTACCTTGAGTGTTCTGCCGTCTACCACGACATTATTTACACACTGAATTGCTCTCAGCGCGTCTTCAGACCGGATGTAAGTTACATAAGCACTCGCACTGGGACCCTGGGATGGGAAATCGATGGTTAGTTAGTTCACTGTCAGCAGCCACCCCTCATACCTCAAAGTAAAACACCTCACAATCAATTGAGGGAGAATGGAGTAAGGAGTTGGTAGAAATAAATTTAGAGTGAAAAACTGCTTTACCCTGTTCCGGTGCTGCTGCACATTCTATGTAAATCTGTATAAGTGCACTGAACCCGATCTGAAATTGTGGATTCTACCCCATGGAATATACTGATTTCTAATGCAAATCTTCCTTTCCCCCCAAAAAACCACCTGCACAACATCCACCCAAGAACTTGTTCAATTCATTCATCCACAAAGCAGCAATTGTGCATCTTCCAGGTGTCACCCATTTGATTGGGAATGTGTCTAAAATTCCTAATATTTACAACGGTCTATCTCAACTAAAACCCACCATGAGTTATCCTCAGTGCACGCTTGGATTGCGATCCTCTCAACAAGTTACGAAGCATGCTAAGCCGTTTTCAAATCATTTGTCAGGCATATTTCGCATTGGGACAGATTGGTATGTTGATTCAGTTCCATACTGGGCTGGCAGCGAAGGCACAAACACAGGGTGACTTAGTGTTAAAATCAGTCAGTCGTTAGCAGCTTGCCACCCGCTTACAAACAAGCTATTTTGGCAGGCAGCACTGCAGCATCTCTGGCAAATTGTTAATCGGGAATCAGTAGCAGAGTACAAAGGCGACACTAAACCTTCTTACAGCTGGAATTTAGTGGATTTCAATGCTGCCGGCACACCAAAACAGTGAAAATCACGGCAGTGCTCATGCTGGCATCAACATTTCTGCACATCGCCAACACACCAATTGTGTAGGACACCACAATTTTGTGTGAAGTATGGCATTTCACTTTCTAGCGACTTGGGACATCCTCCTGATGTGAAGGCGCTATACAAATGTAATTTTGTTATTTTTGTAGATAATGTTCATTTGCATAGATGGAATGCTAGCTTGACAATCCAACAAGTCACCATGGTTTTAGCACTGGGAGCATAACATGTGTTGGTTGTACCTCAAGGAAGGAAAAATAAATAGCAGGTCTAACAATTCATTTTTTTACTGCTGAAAAAAACAGCAAGGTCAAGCATAAGATGGGTACTTTAGGGAATAAACAAGAGGAAAGGATATTGCCTCTGCAATCACTTTTGGTTCAACTGGAAAATATAAAGAGCACTCAAAGAAACGTTTATGAAAAAACAGTGTACTAGAACAAACAAATACACTGCTGAATGATGGTATGCTTGTTTCAAATCGTCGGACTGGGATAGGCAATATTTAAATTACAATATTTTGAAAACATCAACATTCCCTTAGTTGTTATTAATACAATTATTTTTGTATTTGATAAATGTATTAATTCAAGCTTTATCACATCGTCAAGATGTCTCAAACTCTTTCCAACTTTTCACTGTAAATGTAAACAGTGGACACAGCAGCCAATTTGCACACAGAAGTGTGCCACAAACAGCCACAAAGTTAGACCAATTTTTATCTCATAGACTGTTGGCCAAGAGATCAGGAGAACTCCCTTCTCTTTTTGAACTGTGCCATAACAATCTTTCATGTCCACCTAAACAGGCAAGCAAGACCTCGGTTTAATGTCTAATCTAAATGCAGCATACTTGCCAGCACTGCATTGGAGTGACAGCCAAGACTGTGCATGTTCAGTGGACTGGTACGAGGCTTGAACCCACAACCTTCTGCCTTAGTGGCGAAAGTGCGACCAACAGAACCATGCCCTTTTAAAAATGTTCCCTCTGCTCTTAAAAGTGTTCTTAAAAAGTTAAAAGCAGAGGCTAAGTGGGAGTGTAACTGGAACAAGAGTAACCTGGGAACGCACTTTAAATTCACATCCTGAGGATTCTAGACAGTTACTTGCTGGCTAAATTTACCCACGGACGCATTCACAGTGTTTGACAGTGATGAAATGTGAAGCGCAATAAGATGTTCCACTATTGTCGCTATACCAAATGCAATGATCATTATATACAAAGCTTAGCTGCAAAACTGGTCTGTTCGTAATACGGATGGGGCCAAGACTCAGGTCTCAGACAAGGTGACACAATACATCGCCTTGCACCGTGAGCTGTTGCAGTCAAATCCTAATAATAATCCTTGCACTTGATATAGCACATTATCACGTAATTGAGACGTCTCAAAGCGCTTCACAGAATATATTGTAAAGTGAATTAACTATTTTGTGAGTAAAAAAATGGGCAAGGAGAATATTATTATAGAAAAAAGAACAGAAAACAAATATGCCTTACCTGTGAACCTGCATATGATGTGCTGTTATTGATGACAACTTTATGTATTTTACCAAACTTCCCAAAATATTCTGGCCGTTTTAAAACCTGAAATAGAGAAGTGGCAGACGCTGCGTTTTAACTTGTTGCAAACTCATAATTTCTTTTCAGACCAGCTTAAGCAATGAAGGCCCAGCTTGAAAAGGAGCAACAGGCTGCTACCTGGGAGGTGTTAGATACAGAACAAAATATCATAATCAAATCTGAAGTCATGGACAAAACACAAAATATTGCAGATGCTGGAAATCTGAAACAAAAACAGAAGTCGCCGTTCTGAAGGAGGGTTGTGGACCTGAAATGTTAACTCAATTTCCTTTCTCCATAGATGCTGCCTTACCTGCTGAGTATTCCCAGCGACTTAAGAACAAAGAATTAGGAGGAGGAGTAGGCCATTCAGCCCCTCATGGCTGATCTTCAGACCTAACTCTAATTACCTGCCCTATCACCATATCCCCCAATCCCTCTATTTTTTAAAAATCTATCAGTCTCAGCCTTGAAAATGTACAAGGACTGAGCATCTACAACCTTTTGGGGTAGTGAATTCCATAAATTCACGACCCTCTGAGTGAAGAAATGTTTCCTCAACTCTGTTCTAAAAGGCTGACCCTTAATTTTGACTGTGACCCCTGGTTATAGATTCTCCTACCAGGGGAAACAGTCCCTCAGTGTCTACTTTATCAGCCCTTTAAGAATCTTATGTGTTTCAATAAGATCTCCCCTCATTCTTCTGTACTCTAGAGAATACAGCCCTAGTTTATTCAGCCTATCCTCATAGGTCAGTCCCCTCATAACAGGAACTAAACGAGTGAATCTAAGCTGCATCCCCTCTAGGGCAAGTATGTCCTTTTTTTAAATAAGGAGACCAAAACTGCACACAATACTCTAGGTGCGGTCTCACCAAGGCCCTATACATTGCAGCAAGACTTCCCTACTCTTGTACTCTAAACCTTTTGCAATGAATGCTAACATGCCGTTTGCCTTCTTGGTTGCTTGCTGCACCTACAAACTAACGTTTTGAGACTGGTGTACAAGGACACCCAAATCCCTCTGAACACTAACACTATCTAATCTCTCCCCCTCTAGAAAATAATCTGTTTTTCTATTTTTTCTACCTAGGTGAATAACTTCACACTTACTCACACTAGATTCCATCTGCCACCTACTCGCCCACTCCCCTAGCCTATCTATATTCCGTTGCAATCTTTTTGCATCATCCTCAGAGTTTACTCTCCCATCTCCTGTTTAGTGTCATCCGCGAATTTAGATACGTTACGTTCAATGTCCTCGTTTAGATCATTGATGTAAATTGTAAATACTTCTGTTTTTGATCTGATGTCGTGGAAACCCGGAGCTTTTTCTGAACAATAGCTTGGGGCAAAGGAAAAAAAATCTTATTTCAACCACAAACTATCTCTTGGGTTATGCAGTGGTTGAATGTAACCATCTCAGTGCACCAAGGTCACATAGGATACAATCTCAATGGTACACCTGGATCACTGACTAATAATAATACGCAAGTATTTGATAGAGTACCTTATCATGTCTTCAAGTCATCTCAAAGTGCTTCACAGATATACTGTAAAGTGAATTGACTGTATATTTTGTGGGAAAAACACAGCAACCAATTGCGCACAGCAGTGTCCCACAAACAGTTGTGGGTTGAGTGACCAAATTATTATTTTAGAGGGATGTTTAATTAATTCCGATAAATGACCAATTCTTCAGATCCAACATTTTTTCCACTTGTCTGGAATACACACCTGGACAATCTACCCCGTGCGCAGGCGCGACCCACGCAGGCGCGACCCACGCACACACGGCCAATGGAGTCAGACGAGAATGGGGGAGATGGGGTTGCTCCCTCCAGACACAAATTTGCCCACCCCCACACCAACACACACACGCCTGCCCCACCGCAGTCACATACACTCCCACACCCACCACAGACACACTCTCACCTGCCCCCGTCCAGAAACACGCCGCTTGCGCGCCCACCCTCGCGAATTGATGATTATATGTTTAGCCGTTATGGCTGGTGTACACAGTAATGTTTTGCTTCTCAGCCTTCCCAACTCTTCCCTCCACAGGCTGCAGATAATCCAGAACTCTCCCGCACCAAACTCCGCAACCCCATCTCCCCCATTCTCGCCCGACTCCATTGGCTCCCTATCCTTCAGAGGATCCAGTTCAAGATCCTGGTTCTCACCTACAAAGCCCTCCATGGCCTCACCCCACCCTACCTCTACGACCTCCTAACCCCCTACCAACCCACCTGCTCCCTCCGCTCAGTCGGCTCCAGCCTGCTCCACGTCCCCCGACCCACCTGCCCCACCATTGGCAGGAGAGCCTTCAGATACTTGGCCCCCAACCTCTGGAATTCCACCCCCCAATCACTCCGCCTTACCCCCTCCTTAGCCTCCTTCAAGTCCCACCTCAAAACCCTCCTCTTCGACCATGCCATTGGTCACCCATCTTCCCCTCCCCTTCCTTCTCCCTCCCTGACCCCAACTCAAGTCTGAAATGCTGTACACTGTCCAGCGCCTTGGAACATCCTCCCGACGTGAAAGGTGCTATATAAATGTAATCTTCTTGTTGTTTTCTGTTATAGATCAATTCGGCAGAAATCACATTTTGATTTGGAAGGACACCAGTTGGACCAGTTTTAACTTAATTCAAGTACAGCAGTTTCGTGCTCTTTCAAACTCAGGAAATTGCTTCATTTTGTCTATTTCCTGGACTAAGCATCTTTCCTGGGGTGACCTACTTCCAACACACTCCTCCACAAGATACGAGTAAGCATGTGACAGCATCAAAGGCTTCACCTTTCTCTCCTTCAACATCGCACAGTGGAATGGCTGAGACACAAAATGTAGCCAAGGAGATTAAAAGTTGATTTTTCATTGCCGTGATGCTGCACGCAAACACGAGCAACGCTCACATAAGCCATCTGAGGTTTAAAACTAAAACTTACATATAAAGTCAATACTGAGATAAGGTAACTACAACAACAGCTTGCATTTGTGAAGCTAACTTCACCTGTTAAGTATCTCGGAGTGCGTAACAGTGGCAGAGCTGGATGTCAAGCCAGTGGGGAAGGTGAACATAACAACAACAAATTACATTTCAAGACAGGAGGACGTGCCAAAGCAATACAGTCAGGTATTCACGTCTCGAGCTGGTGGTTGGGTTCATGAGAGGTGGGGGCGTGGGGAGGGGAGGAGGATGACCGAAAGGACAGTTGAAGAGGAGGGTCTTCAGATGGATCTTGAAGAAGGCAAGGGAGGAGGCTAGGTGGAGGAACTGTGGGATGGAGTTCCAGAGGGTGGGGGCAGTGTGGCAGAAGGCCTGCCCACCAATGGTGTATTCTCTGAGTGATAGGGAGCAGGTGAGGATTGAGGTGATAGGGTCAGAAGCCTGGTGCGGGAGAGGACACGGACTGCAGAGTTCTGATGATCTGCAGTCTGTGGAGGGAGGAGTTGGGGAGGCCTGCGTAGTCAAGCCTGGATGTGATGAACACGTGGATGAGGGTCTCGGCGGTCTGTGGTGAGAGACAGTGGTGGAGCCAGGCAATACTGCAGAGGTGGGGAAAGACGGGAGAGGATCATGGCACAGGATATGCAGTATAAAGGACAGTTGAGGGTCGAACAGGACGCCGAGGTTCTGTATTGCCTCCGTGAGGTGAGGAATGCATCCTTGAAGGGTGATCCTGTCAGCACCCGAGGTGCTGAAGGGAGCCAAGCCAGAGAGCCTCATCGAAGAGGAAGATTTTAAGGTGTGATCTGAAGATGAGCAAGGAAGAGTCAAGGCGGAGGGTTCCGTTGTTTTGGGGTAACGTGGCTAAAACCACAGCTTGGCAGAGGATGTGGGAAATAGTGGAGTGGGTTGTTAGCAGGTCGGAGAGCTAGGGAGGTGCCAGAGCATGAGGAGATTTGTACATGAGTGTGATGATCTTGAAATTCATCCATTCTGTAAGAGGAAGCCAGTGGAGGATAACAATGGCGGTGTTGCGGGTGCAAAGTTTGCTGTGGGTGAGGATACAGGTGGTGGAGTTCTGAATTAATGGGATTTTTTGAATAGTAGAGCTGCGGAGACCGTCGAGGAAGGTGTTGAAATATTTGAGGCAGAAGGTGACGAATACATGGATAAAGATTTCAGCTGCATTGGGTGTGAGGTATGGTCAGAGGCAGGGAGTGTGACTGGAGGTGGAGGAAAGCGGTCCTGATCAGGGACTGAATGTAAGGTAGGAAGGTTGGTGTGGCAATCAAACCTGATACCAAGGTTCTGTTCCAGTTCAGCAAGTCTGAGGATAAGCCAGGAAGAATAAGGAGATCAGAGCCACATGAGAGCCAAAGAATACGGCTTCTGTCTTGTTAACATTCAGCTGCAGAAAGTTGGTGCTTATCCAGGCGTTGATGTCTGACAAGCAAGACGACATAACATCAGTAGACCTGGGGGCGGGGGGGGAAGGCGGTGAGTGTATTTGGGTGTCATCCTCATAAATGTGGATGTTGACCCCATATCCTGCAGATGACATTGCAGAGAGGGAGCATGTATATGAGAAAAGGGGGGCAAGGATGAAGCCTTGGGGTACTCTGCAGGTGGTTCCTGGGGTGGTAGGAAAACCACGTGATGATGGCGGTGGGTCAAATAGGACTCAAACCAGGAGAATGTAGTCCCACTAAGATGGATGAGGGAGGAGAGCTGTTTGAGGAGGAATCATGCACATCTGTGAAGCCCAGGAGGACAAGGAGCCAAGAGACAGCCCTAGTCACAAAGAGAGAAAGTCATTGGGGTAGAAGAGGAGGCAGCCAAGCAGATATTATCCATTTTCGAGATGAAGAACTCCAGGACCTCTTCAAACTTGACATTTGAAGTGAGGATGCTTGAGCGGACGCCCTTAATAAGTAATATGAAGTTGAGAACAGGAGTGTTTGGGATTTTTAGCTTGGGAGTAGGCAATAATATTACAAGATCAACAACAAAATGATTGTCACAATTTGTCGTGACTTGATACTCCCTTCCAAATATAAATGCAACACTCAGAATTATCATAAGAGCCCAAAACAAAACTACTCACCTCTGGATCTGCCAATCGCTGTGAGAGCCCTACAACAAAGACTAGGTTCTTCTGTACAACCCGTACACTGGCCAGATGTTTGCGGTTTTCTGAGATTTTCTGTTTCCGCTCATTCTGCTTCTGTTTCTTCTCAATCTTTATCCTCTGTAGCTCCTCCTGAGACAGTGGTTTGTAAACTGCAGGATCTTCTGGATAGGGCTTGAAGGGATAAAATGAAGAAAGGATAACAACAACAATAATCCTTGCATTTGATATAGGGCCTTATCACATTGTTGAGACGTTTCAAAACGCTTCACAGAATAAATTGTAAGTTGTAATGTAACCATCTCAATGCACCAAGATCGCATTTTAGGACACAATCCAATGGTGTTCCTGGATTACTGATAATTAATAATAATACTATCACCTGCATTTGAAAATACGCCTTGTCGCGTCGTCGAGATGTCTCAAAACGCTTCACAGAGTATATTGTAAAGTGAATTGACTGAACATTGGGTGGGCAAAATGCAGCAGCCAATTGAGCACATCAGTGTCCCACAAACAGTCGTGGATTGAATAGTGACTAAATTGTTCGGGTTTTTTTTTTAAGCGATCCGCCTATCTGATAAATAACTGGTTCTGACTTACTGCTAGGTAAACAGAGGCGTATAGAGTAAGGAAATTTCCGTAAGGTTCGCCCTGCCTGGGAATCAAACCCGGGGTCTCTCGCTTGCCAGGCTCGTGCTGCAACTGCTACCCTACGGCAATCCGCAAGCTGACTCCAATGGAGTTTCAAACTCAAGTGAAGCAAAATAACTTCACGCCACTCACATCTTTCATTTGGCAAGAGAAGTTGTTCTGACATTGCTGCTGTGCATATTTGAGGCATTAAAGTGACCAATAAAAAAAACTTAAGTTAAAAGCAAGAAATATTTATTAATTTGAAGTGAAGCATGGAAACACTTCATAGTTGAGTATGAAAATTATCAAAAGGATTAATGAACACAAAAAGCATACAAGCAATTTTTTTTGGGGGGGTGAAGTCCCCTTTAGGTAAACGGATTAGATGTTTAGGGTTCATTGCACAGGTACACACAATTTGCATTTATATAGTGGAACCTCACACAGGCTAGCGTCCCAGAGGGCTTGAACACTTGAGCTAACATTGGGAGCAAACAGAGAAACACCAGATATTACTCGCATCAACTAAACGTGGCACAAGCAGATGAAAAGTTCACATTTATGCCAAAAGCAAGTTAGCATCATCTCAGACTGCTAAGACACAAGGCCTGCTTACTCCTGTTGCTGTGGATTTTTTAAAAAATCTGGAGTCGCCTTCAACCAGGAACTGTTTGTTCCACAAACTCAGGGCAGCAAAGTTATAACACAGTTGTCTCTGGGTCCCCATGGTCATTACTTCTTGCACGTTGGGCGCAATGCCCAGGAAGCATCCGCGATGTTCATAGCATTCACACAGGAGCTGTTGTCAGCAGACAAGTTGACATCCTGCATTTTTAAAACACATGGGATGTCAGCTTGTCAGCATAGTTACTGTCTCACTTCTAGTACACTTGCAATAAATTGAATAGTGCTGAACATGAACATGTAATAATGGGGTTACCCTTCATCTTTTCCAGGCATTTTATCACATTTGATAACTCAACACTTTCCTTTAAAGCGCCTACTGAAGAACTGCAATTTGTTCATAGAAAACAAGGGCATGAATGAAACAAAATTCCCAAGTTTTTAAAGTATTAACTTTAATTTCCCAAATTGCTTCAGTGCTGAATTCACTCAGTGCCGAGTCAATAAAAGTTTCTGTGACATACCTTTCTGCAGGCTGGACAGAGGCCATTCTCGTCTGTGCGAATTCGGTGCCAACAGAAGCGACAGATCTGGTATCCACAGGTGCAAGGAAAGAAGTTGATGTCGTCTATTTCTAAGGGTTCCATGCAGAGGGGACACTCGACGGGATCCTCCTTCGTATCAGGGCTGCGAGACATCTTCAGGTTACACACGAAATTCTCAGCAAAAAAAACTATGCAGAACGATGCTTCAGATCTGAGAGAAAAATCCAAAGAGGAAGCGATTAGCGACATAGTACGAACAAACAGTGATGAGCCTGTACATTTCCCCCATCCTTCAAGCAATATCACTTGCAGTGTCTCTCATCTCCAAGCCAAAAGCCCAAAAACAAAATATTAGGGGACATCAAAACAATAATAATTCTCACATTTCGAATATCACCTTTCAGTTTGGAAGGTGTGCCAAGCGCTTCACAGTAAAGCATAACAACTGCTTTTTGTGGAAAAACTGAGCAGCCAATTTGCACACAGATATTTCATTTGGTGGCTGTTTGTGGGGAAGAAAAAAGAGATCCTATTGCATGTTGGGCCAGCATCGCAGAAAATAAGACAAACAATGCAGATTTTCAAAGCAAACGTGAACAACTGACGAAAATCTTTCCCAACAGCGCTTCTACAAATAAAGTACTTCAGCTATTAAATATGACATAGTCCAGAAACTACAACACAAGAAACTAACAATACTAAAATCTTCCCTACTTTCACACCCCTTTACCAATACAGAAGATTGACATTATCTTTACTATGATGTTTCTTTCACTCTCAGACTGCATGCAAACAATCCTCTCACTTCTCTTTTCCTTCCAACCGGGGAGGCCAAGAATACGCCAGGAATGGGATTCAACAGCATCTGAAATTCTATTGTTCCATCAAAGCTATTGGCCATACCACCAATCTGGCTCAGTTGGTACCATTCTCACCTGAGTCATAAAATCGTGGCTTCAGATCCACATTGGGACTTTGAACTTTTAGTCTCACCTAATACTCCAGTGCAGTGCTGGGAACTGCAAATTGTCAGGCGAGCACTGCACTGCTGTAGGTGCTGTGTTTCATAAGAGACGTTAAACCGAAGTGCTGTCTGCCTGTTCACATGAATCCCATTGTATTATTAGAAAAGGTAAAGGAGTTTCTCCAGTGTTCTGGCCAACAATCCCTTAATCCCCCTTGTACAATAATATTGTGTGCAAACTAGCTGCTTTATTTATCTGCAAAATACATAGTGACTAAACTTCACAGTGGAGTTCTGTGAAGCACTTTGAGACATATTGACAATGTGATAGGTGCTTTACCAAATGCAAGGATTATTATTTTAGTTATAGCAGATAATTGTAATACTTTGGCATATTGGAAAAAAAATCAGGAAGATATTATAAATTTATCATGAACAAAAAAATCTTTGTAATGGCTCGGTTTTCTTAGCCTGTCTTCCTGTTTTACAGTAACCACTTGTAGTGTGCAGGTAGAGTAAAGGGAGTTTCTTTCTTTCGGTGTCCTGGCCTACAAATAAAATTGGTCGTTTACTCCATGAATGTTAGCGGAAAACTGCTCTGTGCAAATTAGCCTCCATGTTTGCTCACAAAATACACAATTACTCCAGTTTACAATATTTCCTTTGAAGTGCTTGGAGACGATATTGCAAGTGAGACACTGCACCAAATTTAAGTATTATTATTTGTTAATCCAATCTTGATATTAGGAGACACTGTTGACTGGCTAGTTCATTTTTTTAAAAAAGGTAATCTGGACAAAAAATTAAAAGTTGCAGTCATTATTTTAAACTTCCAGGTAACTCAGCATTCTAATTTCTGAATCTTTAAACCCACAGGTAATGGAGATGGGTCTCACCAGTTCTTGATTGAATGAGCTCCTTAACTACAAACTCTGACCCCAAATCAATGGCTAAGTTCTAACTGCACCTGATATCAAAAAAGCCTCAAAGTGATTCACAAGATTTGTAAATTATATTAGTAGGAGAATATGGCAGCCCATTTAAACACAGCAATGACCAATAAACAATCATGAAGTGTTTTTTTGAACAACTGCCATAATGCCCAACTAAACATGCAAACAGGAACTTGTATAAATGTTTCATTTGAAGGACAGCAGCTTTGATAAGTGGAGCATTCCCACAGCATTTAGTGTTAGTCAAGATGATGGGCTCAAAGTCCCAAACTTGGGTGCCGATCCACAACCTTTTATAATAATAATCCTTGCATTTGATATAGTGTCTTATTACATGGTTGAGACAACTCAAAGCACTTCACATAATACTGTAAAGGGAGTTGACTGTATATTTTGTTAGTGAAAAGCGGGAACAAATCACACACAGCAGTGTGCCACAAAAGTAGTGGATTGAGGGCCCAAATTATAATTTTTTTTAAATGGATTGTTTCTCCCGGAAAGCTATCCTCCAATTGGCAAACAACTAGGTTCCTACCTACTACTAAAGAAACAGAGGCATGTGGAGTACGAAAATCTGCCTAAGGTTTCGCCCTGCCCAGGAATCGACGCGAGGCAAGTGCTTCAATCAATATGCTACAGGACTCCACATCTATGATCTAGTCGCAGTTTACACTACACTTTATAATATAGTAGCATGAGTGCTTCCAACAAAGGAAGGCTAACAACTAATTAAATTGTTCTGATGTGAAGAGGGGAGGGAAGGTTGCAGGGATAGTTTTGAGGGGAGGAGTAGAAAGAGAGGAAGCTGAAAGGAAAATGAACTTTATTATGTACGTATGAGCCTCAGCGCAAGAGGGGGTGCATCCTACCCACAAAAATGTTGCAGGGTACTGCTTGCAGCCGAGAAGGCCAACAACTATTTGGAATAGTTGGGAACACTACCTCTCTTACATCAGCACAATAAAATAACAGCAACTAATCAAGCCAATCTTGAGGCAAGAGCAGCAAGATGAAAGAATGCAAGACTGAGAAAATTATGTGAGCAATGTCGCAACACTTATCACAGCAGTTTCCCCGGCAATTTACACAGTAAGATCCCAATTTTTCCCTTCACAAAATGCACCAGACCAGACATGCTGTTTGTTTGACAAGGCACATAGAGCAGACAGATCGGCAGACTACCATGAAATGCCAAAAACCTTAAGTGGCCAATGACCAGTAGTTTCTCCTCCTCTTTTTTCCTGAATAGGAACAGTATGACGAGACAGTGCTATGATGCAGTGCCCTTTTCCTTTTCAGGAGAGCGTGTTATTTTTAGCTTAGCTTGGAGGGAGAACAGAAAATAGACCACTTTCACCGATGCAAGCATCTTCAACTTCAATGAGTCAGCAAATCTCATTAAAGTAAAATCTTACCAGCCTTTTAATACATGTCGGTCATGACGAGACTTAATTAAAAGGGAAGTGGAGATTTTAGGTTACAATACAATTACTTAGATATTTGGGATCAAAATAGATTGGTGGAAGTTAGCTCTTCCCTTCCCACCAGCCCATCTCTGCTTCCGTCTGTTATATAGAAATAACGTTGGGGGTGCTTTTGTGAACAGAAGCTTAAATGAGAGCTCCAATTACTAATGAGGAGATAAGGAAATACATTTTCATGCAATGAGTGTCAGGAGTGTGGAATTCACTCCTGCAGAAGGTAGGTTCAATTTAAAAGGCACATAAATATTTGATAGATAGGGGTATCAAAGATTATGGAGAGGGTGAGGAAGTGAAATTGAGTTGCTGTTCGAACTTTGAAAATGGTGAGATGAACTCGAATTACCTCCTATTTATATTGTTCCTTTGTTCGGAACAATACAAGTTTACATTTCTATTGCATGTTTCATGTCAGATTGATGTCCCAAGGTGCTGGACAGTCCAGACTTTGCACCCAAGCTGAATGAAACCAAAACCAGTCAAATATTTCCTTTTTAAAAAGATTTAAGAACTTCACATCTGATAGACACAAAAGATTATTTGTTTCTTTACCTGCATATTCTCATATTTATAATGGTCAACCATCTGCCTCCTATTTTGAACTAAAATAATTCAGGCTGAAGTCTCGGTGGATGGTAAAGATCCCTTTGTGGAGTCCTGTAGCTCAGCGGTCAGAGCACTCGCTTTGGAAGCGAGAGACCTGAGTTCAATTCCAGGCAGGGCGAAACCTTGGTCAAGTTTCCTTACTCTACACGCCTAATAATAATCCCTCCAAAAAAAAAAAAAACAATAATAAATTGGTCATTTCCAATCTAGGACTGTTTGTGGGACATTGCTGTGCGCAATTGGCTGCCGCGTTTGCCCACAAATATACAGTCAATTCACTTTACAGTGCGTTCTATGAAGAGCTTTGGGACGTCCTCCCGATGTGAAAAGCTCTATATCAAATGCAAGGATTATTATTATTATCCAATGGCACTATGAAAAGTGAGTTTCCCCCAATGTCTGTGCCAACAATCCGAGATTCAATCGGTCATTCACTTCATGGTTCTTTGTGGGATATTGCTGTGCACAAACTGCTGTGATCGCCTCCAAATAAACTTTCATTACACTTTACTTTGAGGTGTCTCTTCAATGTGATAAAAAAAGTTTGGGTTATTTACTTAAATGGTGAGAGAGTGACACCTCCATTGACTGCACCATTCAAATGGTTTCACTGCAAGGGCAATCACTGTGCTTATGTTACAAAGGTTTACCCGCAGCAACAACTTGCACTTATATAGCGTCCTCCACGCAGAGCAGTGAGTCAGAGTATAGCAGAGCAAAATAATTGAAGATTATCACAGGAAACACTTGGTTGACCTACAGCCCTTCAGTAGTTTTAACACGAGTACAGCAAAAATGATTGTTGGCCTGGACACGGGGGAAAATTCCTTCTCTCGAGTCCCACGAGATCTTCAAAGTCTACCTGAAAACGCAGGTGGTAGCTGGCACCTCAAACAATTCAGTGCTCCCTAATTTTGTACCAGAGCATCAGACAGCGACTTCAAAGTCCCAGCATGGGTTTGAACCCAGAACCTGTTGATCTTCTTAAGTGCCACCAAGTGAGTCAGGTTGACTATTGTTGGGATACAGTTTAGTAAATCAAAGTGGAGCCCAAACATTTGCTCATCCCATATTCCCACATCCATTTTTCTGATCTGAACATGAACGCTGGCGAATTTCCTTCTCCTTCACAACAGGTAGCTGGGTTCAATTGCAGCTCAAAATATGGCTGAGATCAGCTAATTCAGTCTGGGTGGAATCTCTGGGG